GCTGGCATCCTTAAGCCTAAGTCGCTATTGAGCTAAGGAAGCATGTCAATATCATTGTTAAAAGACTCAGTATTTCAATATTGTGCTTGCTTACTATTAATTTTCTTGAGAGTAGTATCGCTGTCTCGCTCTTTTTAGTAGCTGATCGAACTTGCTAGTTGGGCGTATGTATTGATATCTCACTTCTGAGCTGTGGCTGTATTAATATGTGCCCTGACTAAGCAACGGCGCATGCACAGTCTAAAGAGAGCAATAAGCAAACGTGCAACAGCTTTTTTCCATCCTATAAAGAATACGTAATTGTAGTTTAAAGCAGAGGCACAAGAGTAAAAGTGTCGCAGATATTGGAAAATCAACTGGAAATCGAAAGCTAAAGGCATTGGGCAAAAACAAAGGGGAAAGCTGAAGTGAGAAAATCGAAAAGGGAAGCAAAAGGTGTTAATGCCATAGCAAATCCGCAGAGCCGCAGACTTTGAGCCACGTCTTAGTTAAGGTAATGCTTCGGTTGCCTATTCGCAATTTGGGGTCTGCTTCTTCTTTTTTTTTTGGCTTTTGGGATTGCCACAAGAAGCTTTTGTAGCAGACGGCCACAAAATGTGATCTGCCAAAAAGGACATGGCAAAAGGGGACATGGCAAAAGAGAAAGGAATTGAAATTTACGTCGACTTTTTTGTTAACTCCAAAGTGCTTGCCAAATGAAGTTTCGAGGCGACTCTTTTGTTGTTGATGATGCAGAGGCAGCGCGAGAATAAGCTAAGCTGCAGCTGTTGCTAGTTGCGGCTAGTCTTTAATCATCTTAGATAAGCCCCAAAGATAGCAACACTTAGGAGCATATTCGTTGGCCAACTCTTGGCCCTGCCACAACGACCCACTCTTAATCTATCAATAATATTATTGCTTGTTACGGTATGGCCCCAAGTAGTTGGCCAAACAGCTTGACTGGCTAGTTGCAACTGCAGTCAGCACCTCCATGCACCTGCCGGGTAAAGTTCTGTGACGCCACCTGTAAACTCCTTCAACTGCACTCAACGAGCTTGCGTAATTCCTTAGGTAAATTTATAATTACTGTAAGCAACTTGAACTAGTTACGCTAGCAATTGAAGTTCCTCATCCTCCTCCACCTCCTCCTGCTTTTAGCCTGCTCCCACGGGCACCACTTGCAGCACTTCACAAAGCGGCAAATAGCTAGAAAATACGCGACTAACGGATATCCTAGATAAAATATATATTTAATCTTATAACTCAATATAGAAAGACAGAGAGACAGCGTAAATTTCTTAGTCCATTTTATTTTAAGTTCCATAATTTGCACTTCGATAAATATCGATTTGTAAAAAAATGTGCTGATTTATTAATCAATATATACATCAAAGTGCCTAATGCTTCAAATAATATTCTTTGCATTGCCAGCTGTTTAAATCTCCCCTATCTATGCGTAAAAGCTTACTTAACAACGAAATAAATCGATTTTAACAGTAATCGAATGATTCGTCATATTGAAATATGGCAAGAATTACTGGTGATATTCTCTACAATATTCTAGGCGAAATATCTCTCTATATTAGCTGAATTCTAATTTCAAATGTGCCATTAAGAATGTGAAAAACTGTATTTTTTTTTATCGATTTTTATCGATTATATGCGATTTGAGTTTGTTTACTTATGATTTTACTTAACTTCATATAATGTGGCTTTAAATAAGCCTTAAAATAGTTGTTGAATACTAATCTCAAAAGATTTTAGTATCGATTGTTATCGATATGCCAACTGATGGCTTTTAAACTCTAGTTTCGAGTCCATCATACAGCCTGGTCACCGATTAATGACTTTTATGAGTCTAGGGTGTACGAAACACAAAAAAAGGAAAGGAAAAACAAAGGTGAGGCAAGATAGAAACTTGTATCAAGTTTTGTCTGGCAAACTGGCGTCGGGGCAATCTAATTTCCATTTGCGCTGGGCACTGCACCTACAGCACCTACGACTCCCCGTTTGCCCATTGGCCTTTGCTCCCTCGGCTGTTGCCAGCATTTTCATTAGTTTTTCATTTTGAAGCACTTGCACCTGGCCAACTGTAAAAGTGCTTTGCGCAATGAAGTGCCATTTTTTGGATGCATAAAGTGCATTTCCTGGCAGAGAGAGAGAGAGAGACAGAGAGAGAGAGAGAGAGAGAGAGACAGAGAGAGAGAGAGGGTAGACATTTCGCGCGAGTTTCGCATTTTATTGATTTTAATGAAAATGCAATTAAAATTTTAGCACACGATGTGCATTAACCAGCCGAACCAACGAAGAGAACATGATTTATGCCATGTTTGACATTTTAATTATGCTCACAGCCAGCCGTCCAAACATATATAACAATATAAATATACAAATATATTCACATATATACTATATAAATGTTGCATATATAAATGAGTGCAACATTATTTTTAATCAAATTTCATCAGAGTTTTTGTTTTTCATAAATTATACGGATAGTTTGTTTCTGCTGCTGCTGCTGTTGTTGCTGCTGCTGCGCTCGACTGTGCATTTTGTCGTTGCATTTTTAATGTTCAATTAACTGCATTAAATTATATGTGTAAAACACACAATTTATGCACTTAAAATGTACTCAATTTCGTTGACAACTGAGTTACAGCTTAACTCTCCATCTTTCTCTTTTTTTCTCTCTTTCTCTCACTCTTTTTTTCTCTTCCTCTTTCTATCTGCCTCTCTCTCGATCTTTCTTTTTCTATTTCTCTCTCACTATCTCTCCTTTTCTGTCTCTCTTTATCCCTACATATCTCTTTTCCTCTCTCTCTCGCTCTTTCTGTCTCTTTTACCCTTTCTCTCTCTGCCTCTATCTTTTTCTATACCCCTATCTTCCTCTATCTCTTGCACTCTTTATTTCCTGCTTCCTCTATCTACTTGTCTGCCTCTCTCACCGCCAATCCCTAATTCTTTGTTACTTTAATATTGGATTCATCAGGCCCAGTCCCTTATCTTTAAGTAATTGTCATCGTTCGCTGCATAAAAATCCAATTAATTTTTATATCAGCCTCGTGTCAGTTTTTGCCATAATACAACAGCATCAGCAGCAGCAACAGCAGCTCTGGAATCCTGGCGTGCAGGTCAGCTAGGCGCAGCGCAAAGGACACACGCAATTAGTCAACAAATTTAACACAGTTCATTGAACAAATTTCAACAAGGCAACCTAATGGCATAATTTGCCATGCTCTTCCTCCCACACACTCGCTGTCCTGCTCTTTCTCATTCGCTCTCTGTTCATATGTAGCGTCAAGTCGAGTAATTGTTATGGGCACTGACATGAGGATGAAAATTACAAGCTGCTAAAGATTAATGATAAGAAATTCATTAATGAACGAATAAAATCTCATATAAATTCGGATTCATGATGTGTTGATTACGATGGCCTGACCAAGAGCTTATCCTCTCTTTCTCTCTCTCTCTCTCTTCTCTGACTTTCACTGTTTTACAGAATGATCTCTCTTATTCATGAGCTGTTTAAATTTTTGCTCTTTTGCATATTTACCTTGTTATTTTATTACGTGGCGGATATGAGCAGAGCACAAGAAATAAAATAAAGATGAGACAGCAGATGAGACAGAGACAAGTGGAAGCTGGCATATAAACAGCGCGAGGACATTGTCACAGCAGGAAGTCAAATGTTTTTTATATGCAAAAATATTTCATTTCCTACAGCGACAAAATGAAACGAAATGTTAAATAATAATAAAAAAGTGTATATACTATATATATATGGAAAAAAGCGACAAAGTAAATTCGCTGTAAAGGAAAAAATATCGGGATCCCAGTACAAGAAATGCAAATAAAAAACTGCAATAAAAATCTGTTTAACATGAACCGAGGGGACTCACGAAAATCTAGCTAGTCAGAGTTAGTCAGTCAGTGAGTCACTCAGTCTCTCAGTCTGTCAGTCGCTTTGTCCTTGCTCCTTTGCCATCATACACTTTACAACTTATGAGTGCTAATAAAATTCACTCGCCATATCCTTGACAATTCACAAAAAGTGCGCCAAGGTGCGAGCAGCGATAAAGGCAGCGGCAGCAGCAACAGCAGCTGGAGCAACAGCAGCAGCAGCAGCTCAGGCTGGGATAAGGTCGTCTTATGGACAGCATAAAATGCGATTTCATTTGTGTTTCTCTCCTTCTTTTTTTTTACTTCTCTTCCTAATGGAACACTTACCTGTACAATTTCTTTGATAATTTCGCAAAGGATTATGTCTGCTCGTTCAGGATTTGCATTCGAAATGTAACTTTGAGCAAAGTCCTATGAGTATTTCTTAATTTATTTTCAGCTTTTTTTAGCTGTAAATTAACAGAACAATTTGAAAAAGCTTTTTTAAATTATGAGGGAAGTAAGGAATAAGCTGATCACATAAAAATTTTACTGATTTTAAGTTAAGTTGATGAAAATTAAAAAAATATATTTATAAATAATTAAATTATATTTTTAATTTACTTTGTGCATTTCAATTGTGAAAATAAATAATAAAATAAATATAATGATGAGAAAGAGCAACACTTATAAAAAAATAATTTTATATTAATAATTTATGCATTAAGAATTTTTAATCAAACTATTTAATTTCTGTATGATTCAAATTAGACTTTTACTACCAGAAAGTGTATGTACGAAAACCCAAATCTTAAAATGTTATAAAAAAGTTATTGAGAATTTTAACTATTTTTAATAATGTTACTTAAGTCTTGGCTAAAACTGATTTTTACTGACTACTTAATTTTTTTTATTATACATATATTTTATTTTTTACACAATTGATATATATTTTAAAAAATAAATAGCTCAAAGCTGATGCTTACGAAGCCTCCACAAAACTTAGCATAATTAGTCAACATTTAAATATTTCACGTAATGTCGGCATAACAAATACTATATATTATTTTAAGCCGAATTCAGCATTCCATTCACGCTATTTCTATTTAAAGCGCAGATTTGTTTACACAACAAATTCAGCGAAAAGCAATTGAAGCTTAGAATGAAATGTTAAATGTGAAATGCAAATTCAATGCAAATACTTATTGGAGAATAAAAACAAAGTTCACTTCGAGAAAATCCCTAACAAAGAAAATCCAGCATCGACTTATATTTTATACACATACATATATATGTATGTGGACGATGCTAATCACATGGCGAGTCCTCCCGCTGATGTTGTTGATATTGGGTCCAAGGCAGACAGCGCAGGCGATATGGTTTCCCTGGTACTTTCATTGCTATGGTTTCGAGCCGCACGGCAGCTGCCATGGTGGAGCTGTAAGAGTTCCGCCATCCGCAGAGGCGGACAAAGCTGCCACGCCCACAACCACAACGACTACCACAGGTATAGGTGCTACCACAAGCAAAACCAAGTCGGGTAAGGGCGAAGCCAATGTATGCCCGCCTGGGTATCAGCTGAAAGAGCAGCGTCCAGTCACATGTCCGCCCGGCTATAGGTTGAAGAGCAAAGGGCCCGATGATGCCAACGAAGCTCATCTGTGCGACGATAATCCTCTGGTTATGCAGTTGGCACGCCTCTATGTGATTAGTCCGGAGCGCATTGTCCTGCTGCTGGCAGAGCCGATGCTTGTCGAGTCCTGTGAGGAGATATCCGATGTCCTGGATCGCATAAATAGCGCCACAAGCAATTGCATCGTTGCCGCTGACAACATCTATGGCAAGCTGGCTGAAGGGCTGAGCTATTACAAGTCGGAGGTGTGCGATGGAGCCGACCGAAAGCGCCAGGCGAGTCTTAACGGCGCGCATAGCTGCCTCAAGGAGCTGCGCACGGACATGATCGAGTGTGAGGGGCCGGCGGATTGGTATGAGAAGCCCAACGTGGATAAGGTCTGTAAGGCCTTCAACGACGTCCTCGACTGTTACTATACGCGCAGCGCCCTGCTGTGCGGCCTGGACGCGGCTTGGCAACTGAGATCCTTTGCCGGCGACAGCATGAAACGCGCGATGATCAATAACTGCGAGGTGAACAAGCGCCTGCCCCGCGTCCCAGATGCTATGCCCGTGTTCGGTCTTTCGTCCTCAAATTCTTTTAACATTCTGTTAGCTTTTACCTTTATCATTTTTCTTATATTATAATAAACATGTTTATATATTTATATAAGTTCGTTCAATGGCAAGACGCTGACCCCAGAAATCATTTATCAACTGCTTCGACTACAACTCGAGGCCCTTCTAATGCCAACTTAAGTGTTTCGCTATTGCGAGTAAATTTCAATAAATACCCAGAGGGCTTAAACTGTCGACAAAATAAGCCAATTTACCTACAACCCCCCTACACACACACACAGCACCAGTGTGTATGTCAACCGCTGGACACATTTAGGATATATTCGGTTTTGGCTTGAAGGTTGGCTACGAGCAAAACTCATCAATTATGTTGACGCGGACTGCAAATACATGACTTGTGTGTGGTGTGCGAGTGTGAAAGGGTATGGGTGTGCGTGTATATTTGTGTATATTGTGTATGCCTGCTCGAATGTGTGCTGTTTTTGCTAACGACCCTACTCTAAAGCCCTCAACTTGCGGACAGTTATAGCCAGTTATCGGTCAGTCATCAGCCTAACAGCTCTTTTAGATTCTACTTCAGATTCTTTGAGGCCAGAGAGCACGGCTCAGCTACTTTTATATATATAGACAATTAGTAGTGTGTAAAAAATATATTTATTATGTGAATACAAATACGAATAAATATTCACAAATGTGTAAGAAATTGACATGCTGTACACAGCCGTTTGATCCATCACTCCTTTTCCGACCTGATATTGACAAAGATGCTGCCCGTGATAATCTGTGGAAGACCTTGAAACGTAAATGGAAAATACACAAATTTAGAGTCTGAAATCTACTCACTTTTTAACCTCTTCGCCAAAGTATTGATAAGTGTACTCCGTTACATTGAACGTGTACCAGGGAGTCTTACACAAAGTACTAGTGTGTAGTGTGTAGTATAGTGTAATATACGTTTATAGCAGTGTATATAGTGGAGCGTATTTCAGGTTGCAGTGTAGTTCAGTGTAGTGTATTGCAGAGTTTTGTATTGCAGTGTGTATTCCGGTGTGGTAGTGTAGCGTGTGAATGTCTTTTTAATAGATTCATTTTGGACCTCTTCTCTCCCATGTTTAGCGTAGCCAGTTCTTGATAAAATTATAATTAAATTTCGACTTTTCAGACTATATTTTTTATACTCACAAGATGAATATTCCTGCCTTAGCAAAATTGTTTTTATTTTTAAAAAGTCATTCACTTTTCACTTATGCTAAAATGAGTAGACTCGGGATGAAGGGTTTTGCGGGTTTCGGATTCCGAAAACAATATTTTCAGATGTATTTGTTTAATGTATTTTACAGCTTGTTCTGCTTGAAGCTGCAAAAGTGTACTGACGGAATGTAGTATGTATCGAGAGGCATATGCTGTTCAAATATCAGCTCCCATTCAAGGCCAACTTTGATATTTCAATAACAGATATATGTATATATGACAGGTAAAACATGTATTATATAATATACAATATTTTTTATATAAATCAGAAAAAGGCATTTTTAGGAAATTAAATATAATTTGAATTAATTATCACGAATTAATGAGATTTTGCAATTATATATTTTTTTTCAAATCAATTTAAAAATAAACGCATAAAAAATTAAATATATGTTTAAATAAAATTTATTAAATTTTTTAAGTTAATTTTCCACACATGGTTTTTATATATAGAATTTGGTTTAATTTTTTATAAAATTGAAATAAATTTTCTTACTATGTAAATTTTAATTTAGAAAAAATATAAAAAATTAAAGTTTATAGTTTACTAAATTGGCTTTTTCTCAATAAATAATTGGAAGTGGTTTTTTATTTGCAATCAAAATAGTTATCAAATCGTTTTCAATTGCAAAACTTTGCCTTGACTAATGTGAAAACTATCTTCGACAAGATGCGCATAAATTTAAATTATTTTCACAATTGCAGTCATAAAAGATTTGGTGGGTGTCACAGCTTATAAAAGTTATGAATGCAATGCACAAATTTAATGGCATAATTATACACACATACACACACACACACCTACACATAGCTGATAGCTGCAGCACATAAAGTGAACATGGAGACGAAAATGCTAGACGCAAGCATAGCAATGGGACAGGAGCTGAGGGGATTGCGGATGGGGAAAACTAAAAGGGGTGACAAGGGGTTGCGAATGGCGCCTGTTTGTTGTCGCCAACGCAGTTGTTTTTGTTGTTATCTTCATTGATGTTGCTGTTGTTGTTGTTGTCTAGTCCATTAAAAGCGTGCGCTGTTCGGTTCGTTGGCGCCAACGAGACGCTCAAAATAAAAAGCAGATTGTTCGCAAACAAAACACGGGCACATTTCAATGCTTTTTACCTGTTAGCTGTTGGCTGTTACCTGTAAATACATTGGGACAAATAGACAGACAGCCAGATGGAGCAACCGACTGAACAGACAGGCGGCTGCTGTCGCCTGGCATAGATAAAATATCTTTTTGTTTTCAGCCACATAAAAATAAGTGCTCAGAGCACAGAGCACAGACCCTAAAACCGTACTCCAAGTACGTTTCAACAACATCTCTTTTATGCTTTTTTTTGCTTCTTTCGCTTTGCTCTGCAATTGATAATAAACACGCTTTGGCCGAACGATTGACCCCAAAACTTGGTCAGGTAATTGTCATTTGTGTTGGGCACACTGGACGTATACGTAACATGATTTGGAGCGCTTGCTGTCAGCTGTTTGATGTGTTAATTTGGCATTGAGCAATGCATGTTAAATGAATTTCATTTAAATTAATTCCAATTAAGTTATAAGTTCTCTGTATTGTTAATTGCAAAATATTTACAGGCGAACGCGTCTTGAATATATTAAACGGATGACGGTGCGTATGCGTAATGCGTTTGATTAACCTTAACGCATGCAAATTGAAAAGATATTAAGTCAGATAATCGATAAAATTTTAAGTTTTATTTTGCGAGTGAAACAGAAGTCTTTAAAACAAATACAAATTGTTGTTGAACTCATTTTGAAATACAAACATAAATTGCTTTATAAACAACATTATTAAGCTGTAATTTATTTCAGCTTACCCAACACTAAATTTGCACATTTTATTTTCAGTTTGGCAACCACACCTTATAATTTAACCATCAATTCAGTTACCGCATCAGGAGCTAAACCTTTTCCTTCCATTCGCATTGACATTCAAATGCCACAGCACGTACTCGAGCCGAACCAACAAAGAGGAAAGAAAGAAACGACGAAAGATTGAGCATATTTAATAAGTTGACAAAACATATTTCACACGCACAAATGCGTCAGCTTCTTCGTGCAGCTGCCTCTTCTTCGACTACATATGTCAAGCATCATTATTAACAGATTTTTGGGTGCGACACGCACAGCCTCGCCAGGGTGCGTTAGGCAAGCCCCATGGCGAGGGACAATGCTATTGACGTCTATTTCAATATTTATAAACAGCCCCGAAGTGTGTATTATGCATGTAAAATAATAATAAATGAGATTGAGGACCAGCCCGTTGACGAAACGAAACGAAACGTGTTCGACTTTAAAAATCCACGCAACAAATCCGAGCAACGACGACTTCATCGAATTCAATTTTTCAACAAATAAATGGATGTTTAGGTGTGTGTGCGAGTGTTGACTGATTTTGTTTATTGCAATTTTTTGGCCACCATTGCATGCAAGTTTCATGAAATATGCATCATTTAGCATTTTGCGCCAGCGACCAAGGGACAAGCGCTGCAGCTGACAGGACTCGAGGGGTCGGGAAGGCGTGCAGGGCAGTGCGACCACGGTTTATGGTTCCAGCTGTCTGGACACAAATGCCACAGCATTGGAACTGACACTAATACTCAAAGCTTGGTTAGGCAACTAATAAGCGTGTTGCCGAGGTGCGCCGCAAAGACAGGCGGGCAAATGGCTGGACGCACAACTGGGCAGCATCTTAAGTAGGTTAAAAAAAGACAGCGTCGAGGCTCTGGCTCGCTCTCTTTCTCTCTTGCCACTGCCGGCCTGACTAAAAAGCAAGCAAATTAAACCCATATCAAACTAAAAGCATTGAACAGTTATAAGCCAGGCTAGACAGCATCAATGCTCTTCCAAATACCAGACACATGCTCCAAACTAAAACAACAAATAAACGTGAAAATATAAATGCCACCTATATGTATAGGTACAATGGGCTAGACACGGAAATGATGATGGTAAAAATCTTTTTCTACAATATTTAAGCAGCTTTTTAATATTATTGGAAATAAGAAACAAATTATATCATTCTTTTGTATGAATTTTAATTTAAAATATGTATCTAAAATAATAAATTAACGCAATAGAATAAAAGAATTAAATTCTTAGTATTTATTTTGGCAATTTTTTTAAAATGTTTTATGTTGCTTCAGATATTTATTAATTTTTTTTTAATTTTATTTATAAATTAAAAAAGAAGTAAATATTTTATATATTTAAATATAAATATTTTTTTTAATTAAATTGTTTTTGTTTAATTTTTAATAATTCAATTTTTCCTCCACCAAATTTAATTATTATAATTTTTAATTATTAATACTATTATTATTATTATTATTATTATTAATACAATATTTTATTCACTTTACTTATTCATTGGATAAAATGACTATTTATTTTAATATTATGAAACATAAATATTCGACAAATTTCTAAACATTTGCCATTGTAACTTTGTTTTTTTGGAAATTTAAATGAAGGCAAACCAAAGCCACGTCTCAGACATGCAAAAAACACAAATAAGTATATAAGAGCCCGCATAAAAGGTATGCAAAAACATATGAATGGCATATTTATGGTGCCTGAGTAGACAGAGAACAAGCGAGCCACACAGTGGCAGAGCGACCGAGTTCAATGCATTGATTATACACAGATTACGCATACGTCGCGTGTGCGTTCTGGCCAAATTTTAGGCTAGAAATTAAAGGAAAGTTTTGCAACGCTGGTCAGGGGCAAGTTCAATAAATTATTGATTATAAGAGACCCTAAAAGAAAGGAATAATATCTGAATGTGCGTGGGTCAGAGAAAGAGATAGAGAGAGAGGGAAAGAGCGAGAGGGTGAAGGAGAGAGTGAGCCTTGAAAACTTTAATCAAATGAGGCGGAAGGTTGGGCCCTGCAGACAGCAGCAGGCAGCCACTCTTAGCTTCGCAGACAGCCGGGTTGCGGGCAACTTTTGTGGTTCAGTTGGGTGCGCTGCCATGGCACTTATTTAATTTATAATCAAATCAAAAAGCGGCCAAGCCAAGTCAATAAAAGTCAGGGCAAAGTGCGAGCACAAAAACTTGAGGCATTTCTGATTATTGGACATTCAAATTGCCTCAAGCATGAATTATGTGCGGGTCCTAGAAGCAAAATTTTGGACATCATTGTTGTTGTTGCTGTTGCTGCTGTTGTAGTTGTTGTTTGTCCTATTGAAATACTTGGAAATGAAAGTAAATAAGCGTAAAGATTCGCTTAGTGAGTCCCGATTCGTAATGCGACGGCCACAATTGTTTAATGATAAGTAAATTTAACTTTTGTTTAGCTCTCAAGTTTACATTTCTACACATTTATTTTCAATATGAGAAGGCGAGCATTTTGCGGTTTTGGCAATCTTGAATGAAACTTATTTTGTGTTTTCCTTTTGGCCATAAATTAACAGTTGCGGCCAGGCCAAAGAATTATGGCATACAATCTCTCTATGTGTGTGTATTTGTGTGTGTGTGGGTGGTAGTAAATTAGAAAATTCACAAAGTGAAAAGTTCATTAGAAAACATAAATGTTTTTCTGCTAAAATTAACAGCTCCAGCGAAAGCCTCTTTAATTTCAATCTCTAAACAAAGCGCATAATCTTTGTAGCTCTGGCGACCAACATGAATATTTCAGATATTTAAGAGCGGTCCATATGACTGCAATTTTTGATGGCGTTAGATAATATACACAAATATAAGAATACATATATTTTATACCTATAAAATAAAGTTTATATGCCTTGAGGTAATTGAGAGCTTGTGTGTTTATCTATATAAGCCGATTTATTTTAGCCTGGATTATAGATCATTTTACTGTAACTAAAGTGAAGCCAAGCAAAGTAAAGAATGGAAAATTGATTGCAAAAATAAAATCTTTGGTGAATCTGGAAATGCAAACCAGCAGAGCTTTAATATGATAGATGTATAATAGAGCTCTACACATTAAATATTAATATGTGCATAATATATAATAAATACTATCACTATCACAAATAATTATGCTTTGTAAGTTATAAGTTAAGCTTAATGCCAATTCTACTATTTAAATCATATTAAATAAAGGCAAGGCATGG